CATCAAATTTGCAGCGCAGTGCCTCGGCAATGATGTTACACGCGTGCAATTTATCATTCACCGTTGTTTGCTTCGCTTTCAGTACATGGCACTGTTGAGTGGCATACATATATGGTCGGGCGAAGGACCTGTCCAAGCGAGGCGAGGAGGCGCACCCGTTAGGTGAAGTACTGTCAGTATACCTTTACATATCTGCCTCAGGAGCATCCCCTGGCAACGAACCTCTAAACAAGGCCCTGACCTCGCAGCACGCTAACGAAATGCGATCGCGACACTCGCCCGGAAATCTAAAATTGTCGCAAGATTCTGCCGCATCCAACCGCCCGAATGGTGTCGTTATAAGTGATACGGGATACGGGCTTCGGCAACTATTGGCTGTCGTTTGTTTGTCTGTTTGTTTGTTTGTTTGTTTGTTTGTTTGTTTGTTCGTTTGTTTGTTTGTGCAGTTTTAAAAACTGCGATATCCCGAAGGCCGTGCAATCGAATCCCGGCCGCATTTTTGATGGAGGCGGAAATGCTTGAACCTCTAGAAGAATTCTTGGCAGTGTATAATACCCCAGTTTGGTTAAATTAGTCTCACCTTTGCGTCAATATTGAGGCCAGGCTGAGTTTCTGCAATAGGATTTATATTAGGAAGAATGAAGCAAGTCTTCATTGAGAATAAGTTCATGTCACTGTTTTATTCTCGGTAAACCAGCACCGCGAATGCCAAAAAAGAAATACACCAGAAGCAGACACGAAGCTTCTACTTCCCATGAATCCCATTGTGGTTAGAGAGTCGATAGTGTCTAGCCTGCTGGTACATCGCTTGAAATCTAGAAACCGAGCGTTCATCAAACACATAGATAAAAAGACAAATAAGACAATTACCACACATGCTGGAGCTTGTGGTTGTCATGTGTTTTTTAGCCTGGTTTTAGCCTCGATTCCTAGCCATGGTGGTCAAAGCGCCGCTCACTCAGCCTCGCGTGTCCCATGTAGACATTTCAAACAATTAATTTGAGCACACACACCCAGGCATCAAACACACACAACGCTCTGTGTGTGTGTGTGTGTGTGTGTGTGTGTGTGTGTGTGTGTGTGTGTGTGTGTGTGTGTGTGTGTGTGTGTGTGTGTGTGTGTGTGTGTGTGTGTGTGTGTGTGTGTGTGTGTGTGTGTGTGTGTGTGTGTGTGTGTGTGTGTGTGCGTGCGCGTGCGCGTGCGGGAGAGAGGACAAGGGGGTGACAGGAGAGGGAGTGCAGAAGTGACGCCGTCTATGCGTCACTTCAAATATATCAAAGGGCGGGTAATATTTATTGGTTTAAACTTCACCGCATTTTCGCTAATGAATGACGCAAATGTCAGGGTATAAGCCAAGAACGAAAACAGTTGTAGCAGGCAGTGGTAGCAGCTACTCCGCTATTCTGCACACAAAACCTATTTGCCAATGGTTGTGTTGGCAGCTGCCAATGGCAGCTGCAAGCGCTCATATTGCAGACGGTTATTTCAGTTTTTAATTCATTTCTCTATAGGTTCAGTTCAGTTTTTCAGCTCACTGCTTATTTCTTCTGCTCAGTGGGTATGTTACAAAACTGGGCCCGTGTGCGTGAAACCATTATTAGTACTCAAGTGCGCTTTCTCACTGGCGATGCAACGTTCTTACGAGTGCAAGTCTTGGTGCTTGTTGGTAGGTTAAGAAGACAACTGCCGCGAGCTAAGCATTTGCAGACGGCATTCATGCACAATGAACTGTTTGGGCCAGTTGGCTTATAATGACGAAGCAGAAGTAGAATTCGCAAATGATAGAAGGACGAGAAGTCTTCCCGGATTGTGCCCTTCCGAGTGGACTTAACAGCCGTCATTGACTTAGTTGCGCATTTTATCCTCCTCGAAAATTTTTCTCAATATGTGTCCTGAGCAAGCACTACGGGCTCTTTCGGTATAATCCATTCGATATGCTATTAAGTGCTATGTTCTGTTGTTGAGGCGTCGATTGAACTCTCAAATAAGGTCACTTTTAGTTTTTTTTCAGCTAAGTAAACTTACATGCTAATTCACTGTTTCGAGTAATTTCCGTCAAGCTAAACCTCTGTTTTGTACAAGCCCATGGGGTCTGGTGGTAAGAACAACGAATACAACAAACGTCTGGGTTCGGCAATGGCAGCTACCTACTATACATGTATTGAATGCCTCCAGGAGACGCAAACTATTTTTTTGTTCCTTGCTAACAAAGCTACGGGATGCTTCTTCGTATATGTAGTTGCGGGCACTCATTCATCGATGTAGAATTGCAGACACACAATGCGTGAGTTACACATATGCACTTGCTAATATGTTGAAGAGACTCGAGTTAACGAATTATCTGTTCAACTGGCCTATACGGCCATGCGGAATAGCTGGCTTCCTCGCGACTGTCCTGAACAGCGTGTGGGAGTTGGCCTGTTGGTTCCCTCGGCCTCATACATACGCGTGAGAAATGGCCGTCTCTGTGGCTCGTCGCTCTCGTGGTACGAGAAAATAGAAGAAGAGCGCCGGACGACAATGTGCCCTGTCTGAGAACGGCTGACCCGTTTGGCTCATTTGCTGCTCCCCGTATCTCCGTGGTCCTCGTGTCACGTTGACAATGACGGCCATAGACGTGAAACCGACCTCGCTAGAAAACTTCCGCGCCGTCTTTCGTCGCTCGTTAGCGTTTGCGTGAGAGCGCTGACAGTGATGGCAATCTACAAGGATAACGGCAAAAGGCGGAAGAGCAGCACAAATCCTGCACTCTCTATTTGTTTTTTTTTTTGTCTTTGCTTACTTAGTCATAGAGACCCGTTTCCAATGTTTTCATCAACATTCCATATCCTCGGGAGCTTTTTTGGACAAAGTACAGTTCATGTGGGCCAAAACGCAGCATGCTGTGCCTACAATGCAAGTAATGCATACTCTCGTCTCATATCGTAGCATAGCGACTGAGCTGAGTGACTGGTCAAACCTGTAACAACTTCATATTGTCTACAGTCTCCCGATTTAAACTATTTACTGAAAATTTCTGTACAGGTGAGTACCGCGGCGAGTGAACTATAAGCGTAGCTAACGAAATATGACTTCTGCCAGATTGTGAACTTACGCGAAACATTTGGTTGTTAAATGAACGCATTAAAGGCTCACGCTCAGTTATGCTAGGTATTTCATGCATGATATATCACATTTGCTATGTAGCTCAGGCACGATATATGACACCATATATGTATGCCTACTGAGTGTTTCTTAAAGATAATTATTTACGCGGTCGTACCTTAAGCAACAATTAGTAGCAATGCAGATGCAGCATTTTCTCCCAAAATATCCATGCAGTTCGATTCGTGCTGCTTTTCAACACCAAACTGTCGGGGCTTTCTGCAACACTGACACGAATGCTGTAGACCTAATATCAAGGTCGCTGTTTATCTGCCCGTTTGTCATTATACCGCGAATGCCTCAATTTTTAAAGGGCCAATTATTTTTCTCTCTATACGAATAAACAGCCTATGGGAAAGACCGTGAGCAGAGAGACATATGCATCTTCTGATGAATTGTTCATTTTGTTGAATATATACGTCGCTCAGTGTATTAATATATATATATATATATATATATATAATATATATATATATATATATATATATATATATATATATATATATATATATATATATATATATATATATATATAAACAGACAGTAATGCCAAGGAATGTACAGGGGAAGTTATTAGAACCAATGGAATGTAAATAAGAAGAAAGAAAAGTGGATGAAAAAATAACCAGCCGTGAGCACGGCTGCTCATGGCTGGTTATTTTTTCATCCACTTTTCTTTCTTCTTATATACATTCCATTGGTTATAATACCTTCCCCTGTACATTCCTTTGCATTACTGTCTGTTAGATGTCATTAATATTGTGTTAAAACACGGAAAAACGAGCCCTTAGGTATACACCTCTTTCCCTTATTTCATTAAACGAGAGTCGCGTACTGGCAGACTTGGTGTCATTAGGTTGTATACGAGGGACTATTAATCAGCTGCCCGCTCATAATAAGTTCACGTGCTACGTGACGCCAAACATGCGCATAAAAGAGTGTTTTCACACTCGTCGCTTGGCCTATAGATGGCGCTGACTGTCACTCCTACTTCTAAATTCACATATAAACCCAAAAAAGTGGATGGAGGGAAGGCCACTGTGGTAGCTCAGTGGTTAGAGCATCGAACGCGTTATTCGAAGGTCGTAGGTTTGTTTCCTGCTCACGGCTGGTTATTTTTTCATTCACTTTTCTTTCTCCTTATTTACATTCTATTGGTTCTAATAACTTCCCCTGTACATTCCTTGGCATTACTGTCTGTTAGATCTCATTAATATTGTGTTAAAACACGGAAAAACGAGCCCTTAGGTATACACCTCTTTCTCTTATATATATATATATATATATATATATATATATATATATATATATATATATATATATATATATATATATATATATATATATATATATATATATGAGGTCTAACAAGCAATAATGCCAACGAATGTATTAGGGGAGTTACTAAACCAATTGTAATGTAAATGTGAAGAAATAATGTGGGTGAAAAGATAACTTGCCCTGAGCAGGCAAGTTATCTTTTCACCCACTTTTCTTTCTTCACATTTACATTACAATTGGTTTAATAATTTCCCCTATACATACCTTGCATTATTGTCTGTTAGACGTTATTAATATTGTGTCAAAACGCGGAAAAACGAGTCCTTGGGTGTACACTTCTTTCCATATATAAATATATATATATATATATATATATATATATATATATATATATATATATATATATATATATATATATATATATATATATATATATATATATATATATATATATATATAAATAGAGACTAAAGGCTTTCGCTAGTTTCGCACTGTATATTTTCACTAATGACATAAGGGACCGGAGACGGGAGATGTGAAATAACGTTTTTTTTTTTTTTTTCGTCTACCTGCAGGTATCTCGCAACTTCCAAGTTCCAGCCCACGTACGCGCGGCGGGCCTTTCCATGCTTCGACGAGCCCAACTTCAAGTCGAAGTTCAACGTCACCATTATACACGACAGCGACCACATGGCACTGTCAAACATGCCGGTTCTCAGCGTATGTGTGTTTTATATTCAATCTGCTAGTGCATACGAGAGTTGTTCAACTGCGAGGGGGAATTATGTTACCGCTGCCTGTGAAATGGAACGATGCACAAGGAATGTGTATAGAATGAAAACAGCATTGAGAGGCGTTAAGTATTTCGAGGGTTCACACAGGAGGCGGTACGATGCAGTAAGTGTGTGTATATGGATATATGCGTGTGTCGCATGATTCGCTGTGCCAGATACTTCTTATTTCGACTTTCAACAGCGGGGTCCTTTCCCATCAGCAGGCAACCGCGATGTCACATCGCCTCAGGCTATGCTCGCATGTCAGTGGGGCATTATGGCTAACGTTGAGACCTACATGCAATGTCTGGTGACAGCGTGCATGTGTGGTTTAGCCACGAATATACCTATCACTTAAACATTTCAGCCACGCCTTGTATAGTAAAGCTCTGTAGGGCAAGATCTCGCAACATAGCACGACAGGACAACGGAAAAAACGACAGACGTTTACGCTCATGCCTTGTGTCATTGTTTTCTCTTGGGCTATTTTAAAAGCCATTCCATGACAAAGCAACAAGCCCACATCGGTGCCTTTTTTTCTGGCATAGTTTGTCGATAACGCAAGCGTACAGATTGAGCCATAAAAGTGACAGTCACGAAAGACACCTCTCATAACATATGTCCGTTCCTTCATGTAGGTGCTTGTCAATTTCGTCGTGGCCATTCCTAAGCACGCGTCATGGTTTGAATCCTGCTTACCTTTAGTTTCTCGTCACTTTGATGCAAATATATTCATGGTAAAAGTATCACGCTTTCCGCGTACTCATACCATAATTTAGGGCAATTCGTTTCGCTTTGGCACTTATGTTTGTGAAATTAGGGTATAGGGGATAAGTAATAATTTAGGGCTGCTTTTTAAAGTCGAAAATTAGAAAAAAAATTCTCCAAGAGACTTCTTTTTGGCCGAGTTGGTGCTTATATAAGTACACTGGGGCGCAAGATACATGCCGTGAAAAAAGGGGGTTGACGGGAAGGACATTTGGGGCCATAGGCGTATTTCCAGGGAGAGGGGGGAAGAGGGCACTGCCCCTCACTCAAAAATTAAGGGGGCTGAGCCCCCCCCCCCCTCCTTTCCGCAGTGTTAATTGTCGGCAGTCACGTAATTGCACATAATGAGATTTTTGTAACGTATTTTTTTTTTTAGACTGCTGAGAAGCTTTTTTTTTCGTGTCTCGCGACCATGCACTGCAGGCTTTCTGCGCTACGGGCCTCTTATGGAGCAGAATATAAAGGTGGGCTACTTGGTAGTTCATAAGCGTTAAGCGAACTGGGAGCGCGGGAACACACAAAAGACAGAGGAATAACCGAGGAAGAGCTGCCTTTTGTGTGTTCCCGTGCTCTTAGTTCGCTGAACGCTTTTTCAACGCTTTCGCGCCTTGCCCTCGAACATTGCAGGGGAAGCTATCGCTTAGCAGGGGCTCTAAAACGTTAGACCACTCTGTCATGCTTTTGTTGTGATTTGTATGACCTGAAATGTACATGTGACAAAAGTGCAGGTGGGAACCAAATAAGAAACGCTTTATGGACCTTTATGCTTTTTCCCCTAGTTTTTCTCTCTCTTTCTTATAGACTAATCGCGTGCTGTTCACGCCGAAAAAAATCATTATCTTTATTAGTAAACAAATTCACTGCTTCGCTATATCCCACCTGCCCTGAGTTCACGACAGCGCAGAACTGTGTTTTAGAGGGGCCGAGTCGGCAGATCCAAAAGTGGTTTGCGCTTTCGTCTGGAATTCACCAGCCTCGCCTAGCTTATATAAAAATAGCTTGAAACGATCGCTGCGGCTCGCAACAATGTGATAGGTAAGGCAGTCGACTCGAGCAAAGAGCGGAAGCTTCGCTTTGAGGCTTGCCCTGCAACTTAATCGACCTGACCAGAGAGATGGTTAGAGTCCACATTTTTCTGCGGCAAGAAGACTGCCCGCTTACGAGGGTTCTCACCTCATTTTAGCAATATTTAGTTCTCTCTAACCGCAAATGGTTCGCAGAGAGGTGTACATGTTCATAAATAGCTCAATTACACTACACTGCACCTGAGAATATGTAATAAAGGCACGTGAATTCGTGCCGCTAACTCTTATAGAAGCCGCCGCCAAAGTGATCGGTGGTCATCCTTGTTGAATTACTCTCCGGAGAAGACACTTCAAAGAAGACACCGCAAAACCAAAAACAAAAAAAAGCTTCATCCCAGTGATGCGCTGTTGAGTGTGCACATGTAGTTCTAACTCAGCGTGTTCTCGCAGATTTGTGACGTCACGCATCATGCAGATGATAGTACGGCATACAAACTTTTTCAAAACAAAAGTGTTTGATGCCGGGGTCCACCATGTCTTCACTGATGCCTTTCCGTCACAGATATGACGCTGCAAAATATGAATTAACAGATTGCAAAAAAATGTAGATCCCACGTACAGTGGGAATTGATGATATGCGAAGCACGAGTGATAAAGGTTGAATTGTTAAAATAAAATCAGCACAACGTTACGAGCTGCCGTAAATAACTTCCATGCCATAATTATCATGTTTTCGCGTGGTATTTGTGCTATCGATCATTCACGTCATGTATTACCAAATTTGGTATATGTGAAGCTAGCGAAATAGCCATGAGCACGTTATGAGCGTAGCATGTAGTCATGGTTTACATGACACGCACGTCATGATTATCATGTTTGAACGTGTCATTTACCTTCGTCGTCTATTCACGTCACCTGATACCAAACTTGGTATATGTGAAGCTAGCGAAACGGCCGCGACCGCATCATGAGCGTGGTATGTAGTCATGTTCTGACATGACACGCATATCATAATTATCATGTTTGCACCACTCATAAACTTACGTCATTCTCTCACGTCACGTACCGCCAAATTTGGTACATGTGAAGCTAGCGAAGTGGCTGTGAGCACACTATGAGCGTAGCATATAGTCACGTTTTACATGACACGCATGTCATGAGTATCATGTTTAGACGCGTCATTTACCTTCGTCGTCCACTTGCGTCACGTAATATAAAATTTTGTGTATGTGAATCTAGCGAAACGATGGTGAGCGCATCATGAGCGTGGCGTGTAATCATGTTCTTACATGACACGCATGTCATGATTTCTACGTGAGAGCCGGTCCTTTATGATCACCATGCAGTCATGTCATATCATACCATTTTTTCGATGTCATGTGAACGAAACCACCGCAGGAGCAGCAAGACCATGACATGTAAATTATGAAAATCATTACATACATGTCATGACTTTTATATTATGGCTTGTCATTCATGCTCGTCATACAGTCATGTTATGCCATACCAATTTTAGTGTAAATCTCATTACCTAAACGGCCAGAAGAGGTAAAAGTCGCAGGCGGACAGACAGACAGACAGACAGACAGACAGACAGACAGACAGACAGACAGACAGACAGATAGACAGATAGATAGATAGATAGATAGATAGATAGATAGATAGATAGATAGATAGATAGATAGATAGATAGATAGATAGATAGATAGATAGATAGATAGATAGATAGACAGACAGACAGACAGACAGACAGACAGACAGATAGACAGATAGATAGATAGATAGATAGATAGATAGATAGATAGATAGATAGATAGATAGATAGATAGATAGATAGATAGATAGATAGATAGATAGATAGATAGATAGATAGATTCAAACTCGCCAAAGTTCGCTAAGAATGCTTCGAATTTGAAACCAAGGAGTACAAAATTTGCTCTCGCCGATGGTCGTCGAACCTCTCGCTAAGCCATTGAGCGTACGTAGTACAGCTTGCTGACAACGAGCTATTTATATACACCACATATTGTTGGAGGTCCTTAGAGCTCAGCAACTTCAGCGCATTTTCCTCATCATTATCGACAGGACGCGAAGGGTGCGCGTTAGGCGCGCTCTTTATGGTCGTTGGCCCGCGTGGTGCGATGCGCATGTGCCTCCAGAGGACGTAGTTGCTCCTGCGCCCACGCTTATCTCATGGTTGGAGCGCGTCGTACGTCTTGTGCTTCGACCTAAAGGAGCACAATGGTCACTTCGCTCGCTGCAGTGGCCGCTTTTACTGAAGAAGCGCGCTGCTCACACATGAAGCAGCAATTGTGACAGCCGTTCACGCGCTGGTCCTGTGTATACTTGCGCGTTTGTTTAATGCGTCGTCCTTTGGGTTTGGTCAGCGCGCTCTGTGTGTCGAGAGGTGACAGTTCTTAGTCCACGCTCGTCCTGTGATGCCCATTTTGTGCGTGCTTTCTGCTTGATGTCGCACTGTGAGGTTCGAGCTGCTTGCCGTTCTTCGTGTGACACCAGTGGCGTAGCCATGGAATCTTAGTGAGGTGGTGCGCAAATGAACAATAACACAGGAGAAAGGAACCCGGACACGGCGCGAATGACTGACTCATGTTTTATTAAAAATCGAAAATATATAAGATTGGTAAAATAAACACTTGTTGAAAAGCCATTAAAAACAAACGGGAATTTAATGGCGTGCTTTCTGGAAGCCCAAATCTGTGACAAGTAACGTGACCGAGAGTTTCGTGGCGCAAGAATCACCTGTTTTGTGAATGGAACACCCTTCATCAATTTCACGCACCACCCTACTATTCATTTTAGATTTCTCTGCGCTCTCAACAGACAAGGGTACACAGCCGTACTCTCTATACAGTGCAAAAATTGGTTAGAACATGGCTGTCCCTTTTGCGAAACTAAAGTGTACTGAACAGGGGAATACTCAGAACGGGTGAGGACCATTTTGAACAGGGTCAAGCTGCATGGGGCGCTGTGATCGGTAGTCTGCCTTGTGTCGTCGTTGTGCACGGGTCCATCGAAGTGGTTGAAAGGTAGAATGTGCGCTTCCCATTCCAAAGGCCCGTGTTCGAATCACAGTTGTACATCTAGAGTATAGAATTTTAGTTCAAATTCTTTAGCTGTATTCATTTTCTATCTT